AAGTAGTTAAAACACATCAACTTGCTTGAAGTTTGTCCCATTTACTTTGATGATGCATTTTGGAAGGTCAGTTTTCTTTGTAATTGCCATTATTCTGTTTTTCTGCTTTTCAAACGAAGTCTCTTTTTTCTTTCCTTTTCACTTTCCGTTATAGTTATATCTATCATTTCTTGCAGTTATGTTTCATTTTTAGCGATCAAAACTATAACGTCAGCTTATCGCAGTTGTTAACGATATGCCCACCAACTCCTATTCCTGTTATTCCATGTATTTATCTAATTATTACTTTAGTGTACAAATTGAATAAATCGGGTGATAGTACACATCCCTGTTTAAGAAGGCTTATTTATTGTTTTGAAAAGTCCCAGCTTGGTTGTCAATCCTTATGGGTGCTTCTTGTTGTTAGCATTAATTTGGAACGGGAGCCGTTTTTTTTTTAATTCTCAGATCTTTACCATCAATGTTTAAGGTTTCCAAAATTCTAATAATTTTTTCATTTTAACATTCAGCACGTAATAATCATTATCAAAATTACTGCGCGCTCGACCAAGAGTGTTTCTTGAGGGTTGGGATGCACCATGATTTCTTTGTGGCGGCGCCCCCCCCCCCCCCCCCCGGCCTCAGATACACTTTTCTGTTGTAATTTACCACATATAATTGTGCTGGGAGATTATCTCCCCAACAAGGTTTCATGTGGCATATTGAGCATTCGACACGTATGATTACCTTTAACCTTTCACCTGTGTTATTGCCACTCGTGTGCCTCACTGAGTTCCCAACGGCCAACGTATCGTCCATGCTTTCCTGATTTCACTAGACTCTGGTCAGCATTTACATTGTTACCTCCCATCTCACGATCACTAGCGATGATGTCTGTTTTAATGCTGCTTAGTTTTAAATTATAAAGAATATATTTTACCAGTGCAGGACATATATTGTTTACTTTTCGACCGCAGTACTGGACAATATTAATATAGGAAGACAAACTGTCACTTTATTATGTTTTCATGGCTATTTTTGGGTTTCCAAGAAATCAGCAGCTTTGACTTTGCCTCAGAAAACAGCAATGTGTAGTTAGGCTGAAGAAGTACATATCACAGAGAAATAAAGTCAGAAGTATATATTAAGACAGAAAGCGTGTTTAGTTCAATCTAAACATGGGGGGAAAAAATTGTTATAAATTATAATGCGAGTCTGTCTCCCCCGATGTTGTCAAGCTTAGTTTTGATTTATTAAATTTTATTAATATTAAATTACCACTGGGGTTCATTTTTCAGGAGCTGTTAACTAAGCCGATTACGATTACGTTGTTCAACTTTAATGATCCGTTTGTACATATTATTTAATAGTTTATAATAGCAGTGTGGGTATTGTTATACAGTTTGTTTGAAGCCATTCGTAGTAGTGAAATATTATTATTCTAAACATTAGTAGTGATAGTAGTAGTATTACTGAAAAATTATTATACCATCATGGTCATCACTAGTAGTAGTAGTAATAATTAGTAACAGTATTGTATTTTGTACATAGCCTATCTGTTCAATTCTGGGATGTACCTCGTCTGCTGTTTAAAAATATAATATAATGTATATTTTTCAAATTTTTGCATTCATTTTCAATAGATTAAATATATTTAAACATTGTAATGTTCATATGGTGCTTTCCATCCCAATTCCTATGTGTATAGCATAGCATTTTAGTTGCTCAGATACAATTAGATTTGTGCTTTGCAATACAAATTTTATGTATGAGTATTTTTGTTTCTGTGTGTGTGCTTTTTTTTAAAAATCTTCTGTGCAGTTCTCAATGCTGTCTACATTTAACAGGTTTATACTGTTGTTGTTGTTGTTATCGATCCAGCGGCGCATGAGCTTTCGCCCTTTGGCCCAATGCCATGTAGTGGAATTTGCATGTTTTCACAAGCTGTTCTTTTCCTCCGTACAAGGTGTTCCACTTGTCTGGTCTCGGAGGGAGTAGCGTTCTTCTTGTCTCACTGAGTTTTGGGCACTCAAAGAGATGGTGTTCAACAGTTTCGTAGGGGTAGTTACATAGCTGGCACTTTGGGGAGTGTTGTGGCTGTATTCTGTTTAGGTGTCCATTGAGTGGAGTATGTTGCGTTCTAAGTCTGAAGATGGTGGCCTGGTCCCTTCTTGTTAGATGGTTAATGCTGTCATTAGGATCAGGGCCAGACATATGTCTATAAACCTCTCTTCCAGTGTCTCCCATGGCCCATCTGTTCAACCAAGTCTCTTTGTTTATAGCTCTTATCAGTGTTTTTGCTGTCTGGAGGGTTGTCGCTGTAGGTGGTTGTTCTTGTGTTGCTCCTTTCTTTGCCAATCTGTCAGCTCTGTCATTACCTGGTGTGCCGGAGTGACCTGGAATCCACTGCATCACTATTCTGATGTTGTATGAGGTAATAAGCTGATCGGCATCCAGGATTATCTTGGCTATGTCAGTTCTGCAGCGTTCATTGCCCTCCAGAGCTTGAAGGGCAGACATTGAATCTGTGAAGATGACAATATTTTGGACCTTTGAGGGGTAAACATCCATTACAGTCTTTAGGTGGTATACTGCTGTTTCCAGTGCAATTATTTCAGCTTCATAGTTTGAACAGAATTCCCCGCATGCATCAAAAATCTCTTCAACAGATCCATCGGGATAACCTATGTAGATTCCGTAACCTGCTTTAATGGTAGCTTTAAATGCTGATCCATCAGTATAGACATGTATCCATTCTTGGGGGTAAGAATCAACGGTCTTTAGTGATGAGTTCATAAGAGCGATTGGGTCGGACTGTTTGGTTTCCTCGCCTACCAATTTAGTTTGGACTTCTGGAGCTTTAAAGCGAGCATGTGGTGGTAGGTTTTTTTGCAACATTCTGAATTCCTTGACGTCTTTCTGGGAGGTGGTATCTGTCCTGAATTTCATTAACACAGTGTAAAACCGATTTGTGCTTTATTCTTTGTTTGGATTCCCAGTTTTCTACAAGATGTCTATTAGGATGGTTACGATTTTTCCTAACGCATCTTTCATAAATTTCTAAAGTGGCTTTTTCTCTCCGCAACCCGAGGGGTTCCACATTTGTATGGATTTCACATGCAGCAGTTGGTGTAGACTGCATAGCTCCGCAGATTAATCGGAGGGCATTATTTTGTACTCTGTCAAGAGTCTCTAGGTTAGTTTTGGAACAAGATGTAAGCAGTGGGTTGTTGTACTCTATCACAGAGCGAACATATCCTAGGTATAAGCCCCTCAGAGTTTCCTTGTCTGATCCCCATGATGTACCTGCAAGTCTCTTTAATAACTGTAACCGCCTCAATGCCTTATTCCTGATGTTTTCAATATGGTTCTTGAGGCTGAGCTGCGGGTCAAGTGTGACTCCAAGGTATGTGGGATGCTCTTCTTTCATCACTTGGTGTTTGTCTAACCTCAGGTTAATATTCTTGTTTATTTTTGTTTCTGTGTGTGTGCTTTTTTTTAAAAATCTTCTGTGCAGTTCTCAATGCTGTCTACATTTAACAGGTTTATACTGTCATTTGCTTATTTCAGTAAGTCAAAAATTGTACTAGTATTTTGGTGTTTCTATTTTTTACACTTTAGATAATGTTTTATATGATTATATATGTCTGTCTTGATGGTTAAATAAGAAACTCAATATGATTCTTATACCGAAGAATTTTAGGTACTCCTTGCAACAGTGAGCCTGGGGGACACAATCTATTGTAAGTTAACACTGCTGTAAGTGCCATCCCTCTTCTTTTTTTCTCTACTTCTGGATTGCTCGCAGCATCAGGGCTGACCCTAGGGGATGTAATACAGTGTTTGCGTAAGTACACATAATGATGCTATTCTTTCATATTGAATACTGTCTGAGATTAGGGTTAGGGCTAAACCTAACACAATCACTAACCCTAACGTGAAGCAACATTAAATATTCATCATCATCATCATGAAGCAGGTCCTTTGCAGAACGTCGCTTTCATCACAGTCTGCCTGAAAGAAACTCTGTCTCTCGCCAGTTCTCCCGCCTCGTGTACTTACATACTCATGGAGTCACTTATATCCTGTGCCCATCTTTGTGCCGGTCGGCACCTGCCTCTCCTTCCTGGTACCATGCCTTCTGCTATAATTTTTTCCAATCCGTCATGGCGCTTGATATGACCAAAATTTTTAGCTTCCGAGACAGGATGCTGTTTATTAGCCAATCTTGCTTGATGTTCAGATCTTTCAAGATGTCAATATTTCTCCTCTTCTTTGTCCAAGATATTCTGTGAATCTTTCTATAGCATCTCAGCTCAAAAGCCCCTATTCTCTTTCTTAAGGACTGGGAGATAGTCCACGACTCACATCCGTATGTAGCCACAGGGAAGATGCATGCTCTCAAAATTCTAATTTTGATCTCCTTGCTGGTGCTTATCCATAGACTTTTAAGGCGGTTCAACATTAAATATTACAGAACATTATTATGTGAACGTACACAACAATGGATTGTCTCCCTTATTGTTGCTGCAAACAACCATTGATCCATCCCTCTAGGGGCGCCATTGCAAGGAGTGCTGAATTTTAAGTCTATTTGTTACCTGGTATGCCCTACTTGTAGCATTTAACAGTTTGTAAGCATGTATTTCTTCCACGCTTTGATTCTACATTATTATTCATAATTTTCATCTTCTACTTCTTTTTCTTCCTTATCATTTTCTTCTTTTTCTGCTTCTTCTTCTTCTTCTTAAAATCAAACCCTAATATGCTAATAATTGTGAAACATATTTACTTACCCCCTAAGCCACACAGCCACCTAAAAAATAATTACCTAACACACTAAATTGTTGTTGCTGGTACGCTTTAGATTTATTAGCAGACATATTGTAATTTTACTACTTTAATAAACTAATGCATTTTGTGTGTGGATATGAGATCACTTCCAGTCATTAGTTAACAGAGTCCTCTTTATCTGAAGGGCTTAGATAGCTGGTGTGGAAGAAGACATTCACACCAAGGTGATGTATGCAAGGATTGTTTATACTGGACTGCTGCACCTTACTTTGGCAGTCTTGGTTAGTGTCCCATGCTCTTTCGGTGTTGTTTCTGCGAGTGGAGCATTTTCTGATGATGTTAGCAATATTCTCAACTTTGTTCAAGATGCAGTAGGCAATATTCAGGACTATGTTGGGGAACAGTCAGGTTGCAGATATACTTGCCCTAATGGTAAGTTATGTTATTTTTAATTGTTGTCAACTTTAAGAAGTTACCAGTTCACAATTTTTTTTTCTGTAGTGTGGCTATCACAATGTATATCTCGACACTTACTGAACAAGCTGAACTGCGCATAAAAGCCTTTGAATACAAATGTTATAGACAGGTTCCAAGAATATCATGGGTAAAGAAAAGAGGTGGGGCTTCAAAAAATAGAAAAATTGTATCTCACAAGGAGATGACTGGATGTGTTATATGATGGGACTGAAGAAGATATTGATGCTGTATAAAATATAACAAACAATACAAATGGTGAGTTACCAATTACTGAATGAGTTAAAATGTGAATAGAGCCTTAACTGTTGTGTGAGATCTGGCTGTGACCATACAAGCTGAGAAACATGCGATGGCAATAGAAATATTTTTCTTTGGAAAATGCAGAGAATATCCTGGGCAAACTTTAAACAACAACATCAAAAGTTGATTAAAACTACAAATTTATTCAATAAATTAAATATAAAAGGTGAACGATTGTGGGACATCATAAGGAGACTGCAGAGAAACACTGACTCTTTTGATATAAAACCAGGTTGAATAAAGTGGGACTCTCAACATTAGATTTTTAGCAGTACTAATTGCTCATGTGGGTTCCAGGGCCCCATTTGGGGGTGAATAGACACCCAGTGCCCCCTAACAATATGACATAAAAGTTGACTAATTAGTGGTGTTTTTTTCAAAGTTTGACTGTGTCTGCCTGAGAGGCAATGAATCAACAGTCTGCATACACATAAGTCATGTCTGACGAGCAACCCTAACTTTCCTCAGGAGTTCACAGCCTGTGAACACACAGAAAAAGAGGAAGTAGTAGTAGTACTAATGCATGCAGAAACATAACTAAGACACCCTATATCTTTCTCCTTGTTCAGCCAGAAGAGTTAATGTAACATAAATAAAAACATCACCTAAGCCACCCAAAAGAAGCACAAGGCAAATATAAAACAAACGATGGGACTGTGCTACAACCTGGTACAGTAAGAAAACAAAACAAAGAAAAAGCTAAATTTGTGTATTACATTATACACAAATTTAGCTTTTTCTTTGTTTTGTTTTCTATTTGCCTTGTGCTTCTTTTGGGTGGCTTAGGTGATGTTTTTATTTATGTTCTTTGAAGGTGTCCACTACACCATTTATTCATCTCTTTCATGCTCCTTCCCTCATCTTTCTCCCATCTGCTCTGCCTCCCTCATCTTTCTCCCATCTGCTCTGCTTCCCTCATCTTTCTCCCATCTGCTCTGCTTCCTCAACTTTCTCCCATCTGCTCTGCTTCCCTCATCTTTCTCCCATCTGCTCTGCTTCCTCAACTTTCTCCCATCTGCTCTGCTTCCCTCAACTTTCTCCCATCTGCTCTGCTTCCTCAACTTTCTCCCATCTGCTCTGCTTCCTCAACTTTCTCCCATCTGCTCTGCTTCCCTCATCTTTCTCCCATCTGCTCTGCTTCCCTCATCTTTCTCCCATCTGCTCTGCTTCCTCATCTTTCTCCCATCTGCTCTGCTTTCCTCATCTTTCTCCCATATGCTCTGCTGTTAAAAATCTCATATGCAGTTTGGTCTGGTTGCATTTTCACTAGATGGTCCAGCCATTTCATTCTTTGTCCGTCAATATAATTCTGACATGGTCTTATTCCAAATTTTTGTCTAATGCATGTATTCATAACCGTGTCACTTTTTAAATTAACCCCTGTAAATTATTTGTTGTATATTATAAATAATTCATAAACATGGATGCAAGAGAAAAGATATTTTTTGTCTCTCGTTTTCAGGATCAAAGCCCAAACGAAGGAAAAACCATATACCATCTACTAACGGCTGTGGATCCTTTGGTTTTCAGGTAATTATTTGCATAATGAAATTAACTGAAGTCCAGTTAGTTGCATATCCTTTACAGGACATCACAAACCAATGCCAGAATGTGTTGCCTATTTGTGGTGTTACTAGGTAATTTTACAATTAGTAGTTTACCTTTGTTTCCTGAATGACTGATGCTCCTACCATTATCAAGATCAGTGCAAAGCAGTCTGCTGACAGATTACCTGCAGCTGAATTGAACTAGGTAATTCAGAATTATGACCTCACATAATCCAACTATAAATGAACTATTGATTGTTAGTACCACATGGTGATATGGTATAATAGCATGTTCTGTCTTCCATGTCAAACATCGAGTGTGGGCAATATTACTGTTTGAATCCCCTTACCGTGTAGTCAGGCAAGTGCAGTAACTAGTTTAATAACTTGTCTTCCAACTAATTTAATAACTCACCTTCTAAGTCAAGCTATTGTAATAATTTAATGCATATATCTTTTAAACTAGGCTAATATATTTCATTCACATTATCTGCCAGGGGATGCTAATATAGTAATTATTTCATTCACATTATGTTCCAAGCCAAGCTAATGTAGTTATTTCATTCACATTATCTTCCAAGCCAAGCTAATGTGGTAGTTAGTTCAGTCACTTATCTTGCAAGCCGTGCTGTTGTAGTTTCATCATTCATATTATCTTGCAAACCATGCTAATATAGTAATTACCTTATTCAGATTATCTTGTAAGCCAAGCTAATGTAGTAGTTACTGTATTCACATTATTTTGCAAGCCATGCTAATGTAGTAGTTACTCTATTCACATTATCTTCCACGCCATGCTAGGTAGTAGTTACTTCATTCACATTATCTTCCAAGCCATGCTTGGTAGTAGTTACTGTATTCACATTATCTTCCACGCCATGCTGATGTAGTAGTTACTCTATTCACATTATCTTCCACGCCATGCTAGGTAGTAGTTACTTCATTCACATTATCTTCCAAGCCATGCTTGGTAGTAGTTACTGTATTCACATTATCTTCCAAGCCATGCTAGGTAGTAGTTACTTCATTCACATTATCTTGCAAGCCATGCTAGGTAGTAGTTACTTCATTCACATTATCTTCTAAGCCATGCTTGGTAGTAGTTACTTCATTTGCATTATCTTGCAAGCCATGCTTGGTAGTAGTTACTTCATTCACATTATCTTCCAAGCCATGCTAGGTAGTAGTTACTTCATTCACATTATCTTGCAAGCCATGCTTGGTAGTAGTTACTTCATTCACATTATCTTCTAAGCCATGCTTGGTAGTAGTTACTTCATTTGCATTATCTTGCAAGCCATGCTAGGTAGTATTTATTAATGATCATCCAGACCATGCTTTTAGTTTAATTCCCACTTGGCCTGTTCATAATTGTGATGTTTTGTTGTTGTTGTTGTTGTTGCATATCCTTTACAGGATGTTGCAGAACCAACCCTAACAGCCCCTGGCTGTTGTGTGGTTTCTTTAGGCAAATTTACGTCCAGTAGTTTGCCATTGCTTTCTGGACGGTCGGCTTTCTTGATACCACTGTCAAAACCAAGGCAAGGCGCATTGCCCGCAGCTGGGATCGAACCCAGCATTACGAAGCGAAGCGTTCGCATCGACTTAGCCACAAAGCTGACCGTTGTGATGTACCATCTTTTGAAACCGAAATAGATGACAGAACCATTTCACTTGTTTTCTTATGAAATATAGTGTTGCTACTGTCCCCAATGCTGAGTTGAGAACAATCAAAAGACTACAAGAGTTTCAGATGAAAAGAGGTATTGCCAGACATAAACACTATATAAGTAGCCAAAGAAAAATAGTAAACCAAGACAGAGCTGATGTTATCAGTTGCTACACACTGAGGGAGATACTGAAGATGGGATCTGAGTGCAAATGGACTTGCCTGATGTGCAGTGAGGATATCTATCTGTTAACTAACTAACTAACTCTATATTCCAGTTATATCCAAGAATGGTTGAATAAGATATGTGATAAATGAACAACTAAATATTTACCTTACAGCTTGAGAAGTACATATCAGTCAAAGAGCTAACCAGTTGTTGCGATGAACATGACATCTGCTATGATACCTGCAACAACTCTAAAGAAACTTGTGATAATGCATTTAAAATATGCTTGGAGAAGCTGTGCCAGTCAATTAGGAAAGCTGTAAAAAAAGATGTATATGAAGGTAAGAAGAATTGTAAGAATTTCAAGTACCATGTTTATGTGTAAAAAGGCTGCACAGGTGTATATGCTGCACCTAGTTTCTGAGGCACTTATTTTATTGTAAACATTTTTTTTAAAACATTTCTTCAAGAGACCAAAACTGAAAGAGTAGTATCTGTAAGCAGTGACAAATAGGTCGCATAAGAGCAAGTTACAGTTGTAAATTTAAGTTGCAAGTAGTGCATTATGCTTAGGAAAGTGGAAAATGAACCATTGGGAGGAAGTTCAATGTGGATAAGAAAAATGTGTGAAGATGAGCTGAAACAAAAGATGCTATTGAAAAAATATTCCTACTTCAACAATTGTTTTGTGGAAAGAAGATGAAATTCCAGGAAGTAGAAACCTATCTGCTGGAATATGTCAAGAAAATACGGGCAGATGGATTTTCTGTGTGCGTGGAAATGTTACAGTTTGAAGCGTGTCAATTATCAGAGATCATGGGAATTCATCAGAGTGAATTTAAAACCAGTTATGGTTGGACATGGTTCTTTATGACATGAAATGACGTCATGATTCAGCTACGGACAACAAAGGTAAAACAACTTCCTGACACCTACCAGGAAAAACTATGTGTTTAAAGACATGTTCTGAAGTTACAGAAGTCACACTATGACGGCATGGGGGCAATTGGAAGTGCAGATGAAACTCCCATATTCTTCAATATAGCAGGTAAAACAAAAGTGAACAAAGCTGGTGGGGGGGGGGGGGGGGGGGGGGGAATTTGCATGTGCGAATTTCATGAGTAGAAAAACAGAGGTGTACCATAGTGCTAGGCATTACTGCAGGTAGACACACAGTCTAATATCTCCAGTATAAACTGCATCCTGTTTTTCATGAACACGCCGCATAAATATGGTAACTTCAGAAGTAGGCAAACTAAAAGCTAAAGAATAAAAGACAGTTATTGTTTGTGTTATTTGAGTCACTATTTAAACTGATATGTGTGTGCACGCATGCATACATTTTTAAAGTACTTTAGTGCGCTGGCACCCAGAACAAAACCAATTGTTCAAAACATCAACACATACTTTCAAATATAGCTGTACGACCTGTACAGGATGTTACAAACCTATCCCAGGATTTATTGGATGTTATATAGTTTTACTAGATGATTGCCATTGCTTTCTGAACAGCACAGCGCTTATAACATTGTCAAAATAAGTGCAAAGGTACAGGTTACCAAATCATTGCTTCAAACTCGTTATGTAAAGATTGTGAAACTGTGGTTACAATCGCTAAGCTACAGGTGCGTTAAAATAAAGGCAACAACAAATCAGTAAGTTGACAATTAGGGATATGATGCCAATATCATTGAAAGCAAGAATAAAGTGCAAGTCGATGGTGACCTATTTCATTTTCATGTCAAATGGCAAATTCTGAGAAATATATAAGGAGCATTCATTTGAAACTTGTTCACGCCGCACCGAACATAATTTTTTGTGTTGAGCATGATAATGTCATGGGCATGTGATAAATAATGACCAATGAACAAAAGAGCATGTGCTTATCGTTTCATGATGCATAAGTTCTGTTTCTGACCATTGAGAAAATGGAAGGATTGATCCAAAAATCCATACACAGAGTAGTGATTCAGTTTTTGTTTACTTGAAAGACCAGTGGACATTCACCAAAGAATGCAGGTAGTGTATGGTAACAAATATGTGTTGAAGACAACAGTGGAAGACTTTGTGCCATTGTTATGGAAAGGACGTGAGATGACAACAGAATTTCCATGGCTGGGTCAAGCGCATGTTGTTGCAACAGAGAAAACTATTGCCAGAATTGATAATGAAACCACATTGTGTTGTATTATATATTTATGATGCAGTTTTTTAGACATTATTGCAACTTTTTTTTTTTTTTTATGACTTAATCACCTTGGAGCATGTACCTAAGCACATACAAATTAACTGACGGTAGATCTCAGTTTAAGTGTCTGCTCTGAGGGATATAGGTATTTTATTGTCAATAGACTTTGCCGCATTGATGCCCAGAGGGATATTAATTGTGCACCTCTGAGATAAGCAGAAGAAACCTATCAACATTTTACAAGGTGTGAACCTCTAATAAAACTGACTCTTAAACAATGTCATGAATCGCAGACTGGAAATACTTTAAGAAATACTAAACACAACACAAACTATGGCTAGAGAGCTTGTGGAGAGAAGGATGAATACATACACAATTATAATTTATTTCTTGTTACTGAGGAGCTGGCCGAGCAGTTACAGCATAGGGTTCTCATGAGGGAGACCTGGGTTCAAGCCCCGGTAAGGTGATGGAGTTTTCTCGCTGGGGCAAAAGTAAACATCCTAACCTGCACAGTCCATAGTGAGAACACTAAATCCTCAGGCTCACGACCGCTCTGTCTACACTGTCCTAAAAAAAAAAGTTAAAACAGACAGTAGTGACAGTTTAGTTACTGTGTTGGTTATTTTAAGGCAGTCTGGTTTTAAAAAACACAAAAACTATAAGATTTTCAAGGAAACCCCTCTAAATGCTACATTTAGTTAGTGTCAGAGACTTTATGTCTTCCATAATGGCATATGGCTTGAATTGTAAGACAGTGACAGATAAACTATCCTAAAAAACACTAAACCCAAACAACTACAGAGCATACAACAGTCTACAGAGCATACAGCAGGACAGTATAACAGAGATAGTATTTTTGGCTACGGGACACCAGTAGCACACAAAAATCTTCGTGTAGGGAGTCGGCAGTCCGAAACCCAAGTTTAAGGTGTCTCCTTCGTGCCAAAGAACTGCATGGCTGTTGGGTGAACAGTCATTAACGAAGGCAGTCAGGTCGTTGTTGGGGCAAGGCTTGCTGGTGGATGTAATGTCCTAAATCCCTTCCCCAGCTAATAGTAGGGTACTGCTGGGGGGACAGTTTATTAACCCTCACATAATGCTTCAGGTCCAATTGAACACTAGGCACTGCCACTGTTTTGAGCCGAGGCATACATTTTTGCTTCTGCCAGACTGTTGCCGTTGCTTTTTTGCTCCATTTGTAGACTGGAAGTATATAGTTTCGTTGCCCAGCTTCTGAGTTGCATGGCGTGACACTGTGAGCTGAAGATTTCATTTGGAATGTTTTTTGACTGACCAACGTGGTGGTGTGATTTGCAGATTCAGAAAATGGCGCGATGCTGGTTGTCACAATATTGGTTAGGCCATTATTTGATTAAAATTGATTACGTGTGCAACTGCTGATCTTTTAATGACTTCTGCTACCATCAATGATGAACTGCATTTCTAACGTCTGACTGTTTGTGTTAGCACTTCGAATGGCTATCATATGCTTTTAATGCGAGTGTATGCTAGATTTGCTGAGACAGCAGTTTGTCAGTCTTTCCACAAGGGACTGTGATAAACATTATGTGTGTTTTTCGTTGGCACAGGAGCGGAGCAAAGATAGGGTTACCCGTTTGCTATGAAGCTGAAATTAAAATTACCAGATTACCAGTATAACAGACAGTAGTTTGCCTCAGAAGTCGTGGGCAGTCATGAAACATTCACTACTATCATACTAGCTGTCCCATACCCACACCAGCCTCTGACAGTTAGTATATTCACATCTGGGCCTACTAAACACTGTGCAGACCCATATAGAATCAGTGGCATTTATCTATACTTTTCGAGAACAGGTCATTGCAGAAATGGGTGTATACCTGCATTTAGGGGGCTGTGACACAACGAGAAGTGACTTGATTTAGCCTTCTCGGGGCAATAGGGTTAATGGGGGATGGGGGGTGTTGAACAACAGATCAACATCATGGCATATGGGTAGTAACCCATAAGTTAACTCAAGAAGGAGTCTGAAGAAGCTCAGTGCAGAACAAAGGCTCTGTAGCACTGGCGAGGATCCTGAAATACTTTACGGTCGATTTTTAACTCCAAATTTTGCCCGGGCAGTGCCGTTGGGCTACTTTTTTAGATTTCCAACTGCCAAGAGATTTTTATATGCGTAACAATGCACACGGGCATCCAATCTCACTACCCAGAGACCAGGGAGAATTATTAGAAGTCCCAAGTCCACATGAAAAAATCCAAGCCCTTACCGGGGATTGAACCTGGAACCTCTAGCACTCAAGGCAGACACTATGCTTCGAGACCACGCAGCAAGGAAGATCAACGGATATAATAAATTAATTTCCCTAATAGTTAATGAAATGTTTGCAAGATTATCTAAATACTCATTGTACAGTATCTATCATAATCGGGACCCAAAGTGTAGCAGGACAATATCTAAAAAAAAAAATAATGCAGTTGCAAACATTTCTGAAAGAATGGATTATACATTATATAGAATAGCGAAAATATATTTATCCCAGTTAAAATCCTGAGGGTAGAACAGGATATTTTTGTGAAAATTATTAGTAAATACAGTTTTGATGCTCTTTTGAGTTTACTTTTTTTCCCAACTTTTCTTTCCCCTTTCATTGCTTTTTATTTTTAAATATTTTTTTTAAATTTTCTTTTGAACAGTTTGTGTCTCTACTGCTGACATGATGTATGCTGGAACTGTAGCTCTAGGATGCAAACCTTACAAGGATTGCCAAAAGAAGGCCTGTACTTGTGACTCTAAGACATCACAGAACATACACGTGGAATTGTAAATGTTTATCACATAACATTTCTCACTTGTCTCTTTGCTATTGAAAGAATGTATATCTCGAGTGCTAGAGGTTCCGGGTTCAATCCCAGGTAAGGGACTGCTAGTAATTCCCCCTGGTCTTTGTGTAGTGAGATCAGACGCCCATGTGCATTGTTACACACGTAAAAAATCCCCTTTCAGATGTAAATTGAAAAGAGTAGCCTAACAGTGCTGCCTGGGCAAATTTTGGAGATTAAAATCTACCCAAAGTATCTCAGGATCCTTGCCGGTGCTAGAGAGCCTGTGCACTGTGCTGAGCTTTTTTAGACTTAGACTTGAGTTAAAAGAAGAACTGAGCACTTATGGGTTACTACCCATGTGCCATGATGTTGATCCGTTGTTCAAACCTCAAAAAAACCTCAGAATATATATGCAGCTAGCATTGAACTACTAACAGCTGATAGTTCTCACACATTACAGTTTCTTTATGAGTAGTGTAAACATACACAGAGCATTCTTGTCACTATATTCTCACTCTTAACAAATGTATGTGCTGAGACACAAATTGAATGGCGTATTTGTAATAAATGGTAAAATAATGTATTTTTATTTTGCAATGGACAATGTAAATGGTGATTACAGCTGTTACATGGATGTCTTGCCACTAGTTGGTCTATATTTTTTTTTAGATAAGGAATGTATTGCATTCATTTTCAGATCTTGCAAGTTTCTGTAGATGTAAAACAAATGTACAAACATTTTACTCTAAAGTACCTTTCTTAGTAGTCACAGTAGTAATATTTACAAAAATGTTATAATGAATAACCTAATATTTGTTTTATGGGGTCTTCCATCGTAAAGTGGTTTCAGAGATTCCTGAGATTGTAGCTGGAGGTACAGAATGTTATATTTGAGTGACGCTCCTCCTTGTAAAATGTCATTCTGCGCAAAAAAGACCAAGCCAAGTGGTATCAAATCTTGTGCAATAAAGGGAATCTTCTTGCTTGTAAATACTAGTTTGTGGTATTTCTTTTATGCCATTTTTTTTTTTTTTCAGTAAGTATTAGCAAAGGGTAAGACATTTTCGAATTATATTCACCCTTATGTTTATGTTTTTGTTTTAATTTCAAGTTACATATCATACATTCTTGTCATTGTCTAAAAACTAAAGCTGCATTTAGTCTATGTCTGTGGCACATTATCTATATTCTTATTACAAATATCAGCTTATCTTTTACTACTTATTTTGTGACCAACCTTAAATTTGTGATATTTAAGCATTCACTGTCGTTACAGGCAACAATTACTTTATTGTTTTGTATGACACCTGCCCATTTCAGCTACCCAAATCAACTTCAATATTTCAGAAAGTTAAGGTGGGAAAAAAAAAGGGGGGGGGGGGGTTTGGACACCTGCCCATTTCAGCTACCCAAATCAACTTCAATATTTCAGAAATTTAAGGTGGGAAAAAAGAGGAAAGGGGGGGGGGGGGGTTGAGTTGCTATGGGGCTGACTTTCTTGTGTCCTTGATTTGCCTGTCTTTTCTTTAACCAAGTTTCATTCCTTCTTTTGTAGTCAGTAATGGTTGTTGCTTAATCCTTCTGCCTCCTTTCTACAATACATAAATCATACCCTGAGTCATACTTTATGTCACAAAGTGACCCGAATGTATCACTATAATTACAAGGGTAGAGATAATAAAAAATTTAAGAGTTATATCAAAAGCCAAGAATTATTTTTAACCAGCTAGTGGTTGGGCTTGATTGCCAGGTCAACCAATAGCTGATCTGGGATAGCAAACCTTGGGTGAGAAATAAACACAGCGAGAGATGCTGGCTAGAAAGTAATTAGATATGATTTCTTGTGGCTGCCTGGAAAAATTGCAATTATGAAAGTTTTAATGTCAAGATTTGGGTGTTGAGAAAGACTGAATCTGGTCCTAAGAAGCTGACTGGCCTATGTAAGCCACCTGCCTATTTGATTGCTATGAAAACTGATTTATATCTGAAAGATCGATCCACAGTCATGTTGATGTGATCTGCCGGCATTGATTCCTGAAAGTAAAAAGCCACTTGTGATAAATGTGAGATGCCAGCTCTGTGTGAACTTTGAAGCTGTACCAAACTGGCCACATGCGAACTTAGCAGGGCTGCTCCTTACCTGTATTGGGGAATGAGTGGGCATGGCATCTGCCTCGAGTGCCGGAGGTCCCGGGTTCAAACCCTGGTGAAGGCTGTGATTTTTTCACGTCGACTTCTAGTGATTTCCTCTGGTCTCTGAGTAGTAGGATCGGGCTCCCATGTATATTGTTGTGCACGTAAAAAATCCCTTTGCAGTTGGAAATCAAAAAGATTAGCCTAACAGCACTGATTTGGCAAAATTTGGAGATTAAAATCTACCCAAAGTATCTCAGGATCCTTGCCGGTGCTACAGAGTTTGTGCACTGCACTGAGATTCTTTAGACTCAGGGTTGACTTAGAATGGAGCACTTATGGGTTACTACCCTTGTGCCATGATGTTGATCCGTTGTTTAAACCTAAACCTGTGTTCGGCTGACTACATTGACCAGCCTGACTTTGGACCACAAAGGCTTGTTCTGGTCTATAATCAGGTGCACAAACATTGTCATAACCATGATGTCCGAACACTACTAGAGGGATGTTTGTGTCAGTCATGAACTTTTATTTCATGCACCTACAGTCATTGTACTTTTCTCTCTAGTGCTTTGATACTTAAATTCTTTTCCCATCTTTAATTTCTTCTATTAAACCTTAGAACGTTAAATACATTCTTGTTACTTTAGTTATGACTTTGGTTAGGAATTTAAAATGAATGTATTTTTCATTGTTCACTGTTTGATTGCAGTTTGGGGGGCTTTAAACTAACATGAAGATAGTCTCTGCTAGATAACAGCATAGGCCTACCACCCGCTCCAGCCACTACTGCAGTCTAATGGTATTGCTGGAGTTGATGTCTTTTAGATTTCTGTCACTTCAGTATGAAGACTGGTGTCACATAACCACAATTCATTTGACTGTTTTGTTTCTCAGCTTTTATTCCTCTTACGAAGGAAGTTATCATATTTAGTAATGTATAGCTTCAGCTGTATTAAATGCCGTAATGATTTGAAGAGATCAGTAATGGAGGGTGTGCTTCTGGAAGAAGAGACAGTGGACAGCTATCACAACAATGGACACAGGATCTCAAGGACACACAGCATGAAAATTATCAAGGCAAGGAAAACTGACAGATAATTTTCCAGCTTACTGTGATGAGAGTGATGTTCTGCAAAGGACCTGCTACGTGATGATGTTGAGTTCTCTGAGAGACCAGTATTTTTAGCTTTAAATTGCATTAGTAAATGTTATCTTTCTCTGTCTTCATGTCATCACTCCGTATTTTGTATAGTCTTTCCATGCTCTATGCTTGTTTTATTTCTTCAGTGCACTACACTATGGCTGTTTTGGTGCAAGGACACTCTTGTCAGTTTGCCAGACCATTTTAACCTATTGCTTTTTACAGAACTGTAGTTACAGATCAAAGCAAAATGTGAAGCAATACAAATTACATTTTGATCATATAATTAATTACATGATAAATAAATTAAAAATAACTAATATATACTCTGAGAACTCAGTGATACTATATATGCCAATTATAACCCTGAGGGCTGAACAGGATATTTTTTTTTGAAAAATTACTACTACTATGACTAGGTTCAGCCTTAGTTTTCTTTTATCTCTTCTCATTTCTTTAGCAGCACTTTTGCAACGCTCCATCTGTTGTGATTTTCATTTGTTGCTTATAGTAAGGGTACATATAGCTTCTACTTCTACTTTCTTTTTTAATGTCAGTATGCAGGGTCTGTGACTCAGAATATTTATTTAATGAATAATGTAAATTATGGCATGTTTACTTTACCATTGACATATAAAAGTGTAAAGAAGATGAAAGAATTAGCACACAAAGTGAACTGATTATTCACATCAGAAGAGGAACAACCCACATTCGTGTGGCATGTCATGAAAATAAAATCTGGAGTATGACAAAGGGAAAGTTGGAAGAGAAGGAGATCAAAAGAGATGTTGGACAATTTGACCTGATGGCATAGAACAACACCTATAAGAAAACCAATTGACAGTACATAAGATAGAAGGCTGGCAACAGACATATTTACCAGTAGCACACAGCATGAGCTATAAGAACAAATATGTCTATCTGATTAAAGTTAATTGCGTATTCTCTACAGTTCATTGCAGAACCAACCCTAGCTTTTTGTGATTTTTACTTGGAAATTCTACCCTTAGTAATTTGCTATTGCTTTCATTTATCTAGTTACTAAACCACATTATGGCTGGCATGCTTCAAGTTTAACTTTGTACTTATCTTATCATAGCCATATGGGTTACAATATGTTCAACGTGAAAAGTATGTTTACTATTTTTACCCCTGTCTTTATTTATAAAATCAACATCATCAACATCAATTCCTTGCTGCCTGGCGTGGGCCATCATGTCTCTTCACAATGTGCAATCTGCAACTGTGTATCAGTTCGTGTGCTGATACCTCGCCATGATAAAAGACTTTATTTATGAAATAGTAGTCTATAAAGCCATTATATTATAACTTGTCAAACGTTAAGTTACTTTGGTGTTATTTTGTGTGTGGAGGTATTTCATTTATCTGTTGTTAACCAGCATGAGTTATATACACATTTATGTAATGATGACATGTTAAGTTTTTAGGCTTACATGTTGAGTTTAACATTCCTGGGTTTGTCTTTGTTTATGAGACTTGTATTCTATAAAGCTGTTGTGTTATATTTATTATTGTATTTCTGTAAAGTTGACTAATGATAAAAAGTTGCTTCATTTTTTTTTTCTGTCTTTATTATGAAATAATAAAGCTATTATGCTATAAAAATTTACTTTTGTATTTATGTAAAGTTGACATTTGCCTTGTTCATTTTCTTGGTACCTATTCTCAGATATAGAAAGTTTAATTTGTGGCGCGGTGATTTCG